AACGAAGACGTGACGCGCTGCTTGTAGGAATGCGCTGGGTGTTGGACTGCTTTCGCATTCTTACACATCATCAGTCCTAAATGTCTTTAGCGAATCAGTTATCTGGCAGAGTAAACAGACCCAGGGATCGTTTCTACCCTATTCTTGGGAAGCTCAAATTGTTCCCCTTCCCGGTAATGCTCACTGCTTTAAGCCTTGGGGCAGCAGCACAAAACTGGTTGACAGTGTGTAGCTCACTATTAGCAAGTCCAGCCCTCTGCTCGCCCTCTCGCGGACGAACGAAGTACCAGAGGAGCGGGGGCGACGGCGGTGGCGGCGCGGAGACGCTGGCAGCAACTGTCGGCCTTGGTGCCTTGGTGCTGCTGTCATTGCATGGTTCTGGTCGCCATCTTTGTGCGTGATGCAGTTTTAACAAAAAAGTGGGCGCGTTAAAATAGGAATTCTTGTGTTCCGTCTCGCAGTGGCGTTGCCCGAAGAAACCCACATGTCTAATTTCATTAGGGACTTTTCGTATGCCGCGTACGTTGCGGATTTCTGGTCTTGTGGTCGCCAGCCCAATCTGTACTCAACGGGACGGCAAACGCTCCCGCTTGTAGTGTAGACCTCTAGCGTGCGGTCTACGAGAAGTCTATTACTTGCCATAAGTGCAGAATGAAACTGATCGCGCATCGGTATATCGAGCAATAGATATCGGGAATGGGTTTGCGTTCTAAGGCCGTTAAAAGGAACATGACCCTTTGCTCCAAGCACTTTCCAACGATAGAATACGCATATTTGTTTTCAGGTAACTGTAAAGGCAAATAAAGAGATGCGCGGAGATTTTTAAGCGCGTCCGCGTTAGACAGCCGTTCGTGACGCTAGCTTAGAACGGGCAGATTTGGCGAGGCGGGACACGACGTTACAATTATCAGGGTACACAATAGTACGGTATATTAAAAGTTTTCTTTTCGATAGAGCAATAAATAAAACCCCTAAGCACGCCGATGATGGTAATAGGCATTTTTAGTTTAGCGTTACCTTAGGCTACCGTGAGTACGGCACCGCACCCGGCGCGCGTTGAAAATTATGCTAAAAAAATGCAGCGCGAGCTTCCGGTTGCAATGCTGCTACGTACGTAGCCTGCGGTCACGCTATTCCATAAGTTCCTATCAATAACCAAGGCGCAGTTCAATCACATGTTCCAATACTAAAACCACGACGATAAGCATCGAGTTGTAAGCCTGTGACACGAAGACATCAGAACTGTGAACGCTGCTTTTCCGGAGATTTGACGGTCACCGTGCGCGCCTCAACTTTTAGAGCACAATTGACCAAACAAAGCGAGGACCACCACGATGTCTTCTTCACCTTCAAAAACATTCAACCAGAAATAGTTACGTGGCCGGTACCTAGAACGCGATCGCCCTCCACAAAGCTTCGCAAGGTGAGGTTTTCGCAACTTTTAAGTGTCAAGATTCTCGTTTTATGCTCCTGTTCCGAACGCTTCGCATTTCTGGACAAAGGAATTACTTTTAGCGCGGTGACGAGCGTCAGCGAACCCGCGCACGGGAAATCCCAGAGAATCTATCCCAGTCTCTTCCGCCATCTCGGATCTACCGCCCAGCCATCTATAGGGCGTTGGAGTTGCGAATAGGGTGGTTTCACTCACGTGATTTCGTTCACCATTCTTTTTTGTTGTGAGCTGTCTGGCGTGTACGAAAGGCGAGCATTCCAAGGACATACATGATCCCTCATATGCGTGCAGCATCGAAGCTTATCTTACCTCGCTGACATCTCCTCAACAGGTTGCGACGTAATCCTTCAAATTAGTAAATTTGTTTGAAAAAGTAAACTAACAACAACATGGCGGATGGACGTCAAGTGAAAACACCCTATACTCCATTTCATTTTAGGTCCGACTGCAGCCGATGCTACGATTTTAGGGAGCCAATCGAGCAACGCCAAAATCGCCCGATCACTGCTCTCGTTGTTTTCGTGGATTTGCTGTCAGCGGGCAAATCGATCGCGCACCGAAATAAGCGCAGCATCCGGGCGGCATTCACTCCGCGTGATTGGTCTTGTCGTTTATAACAAACGCGTAAGAACGATAGGCGCCGTGACGATGCACTTTCGGCGCTGTGTGATTGGGTACATATGGTCGTAGCGTCGACGGCTGTAATGGAACTCGAAGGGGAACACACTATACTTCGTTTCAGCTTCGGTCCGAGCGCGGCCGATGTTATGAGCCGAAGGACCAATCAAACAGCGAAAGAGGCACAACGTCGTGGCGTGCTCTCTGCAGTTGATAGGACCGGCCGGTATTCGCCGCCTCTCTGTGCGCGTTCCTCCGCCGGCTAGTCCTATCAAGCGCAGAGAGCACACCACGACGTTGTGCCTCTTTCGCTGTTTGATTGGTCCTTCGGCTCATAACATCGGCCGCGCTCGGACCGAAGCTGAAACGAAGTATAGACTGCCCTGCGTTATCTTGAAGACTACCCTGGGCCTCTCTGGAGTTACCTAACAGTTCTGTAAGACAAATCCCTGCATACTCTGCGCCGCGGCTCTAGATTGTGCCGACAGCGTAAAATATGATCTTTTAGAGGTGTATCGTACTCTTCTTACGAAAAATATTTGAAAAACCAAACGCGGTTACAAAATCGAAGAAAATAAAAGATGCGGCAAAAAAAAAGTATATATATATACGTATATGTTTAGACGCACATTCTTTGCTGTATTGTTTCTTTTTCAAGGGCGGCAAAATGATCTTCGAATTGAGTGGAAGGGTCAAGTTTACAGGTGCCGTCTTTGTCTCCTACCACCTGCTTCCGAAGCTACGATTGGCAAGGAAATGCTCACGTAATCACACGTTGCGAGGCACACGCCTACAACCAGGGATATAAATAAGCCCGCAAACTTTCGACACCTCAGACTAGCAGCAATCGCCACTTCAAGATTCTTGAAGCAAGAAAGCCTTAGGTAACTTCTCCTCGAAATTGCAATGCTTCTGTTTTAGTGTTTGTCGCAATGCCGCGCTCTTAGAGGCGTCTAGATTTCAATATGTGCTCGTGAAATTGTATTCATAACACCCTTTGTGTAAATAACGGATTGCTGTCGATGTTGTTTTTTTAGCCACATTGTTATCTTATTTTTGGTATTTAGGGGATAGTTTGCCCTTTCAACGATTTAAAAAACCTAATTGTATATCTTAATTAGAAATACCAATTGCGTACTCACGGACCACATCTTTTTAGGGGGTTCTCTCGGATAGCTGAGGAAATAAAAAGTCAACATATGTTAATGAACTGAATGTAAGTGGGCAGGCCAGCTGGTGTATATTTGGTCATGATAAGAACCCTGATAATTCAGGTAAAAAGGGCGACAGATTGTTCAGACATTTCAGCCTTTTTTTCTTCGTTTCTTACCTGCTTTCTCGGGTGTTTGGTCCAGAAATACACCCAATGCGTTACTAGTAACGAGCTGTTTCTACCTTGTTACTTGTTTTTGGTAAAACTAACCTATTTAGTCACTTTTTTAGAAAAGGAACTAGTAACCTACTGAGCTACTCTTAAGGCCAAGTAACGAGTAACGGTATTTCTTTACTTTCGACGAGTAACGTGCACAAGAACTTGGATACAGTCTCATTTCATTTCTAACCTGAGTAACCGTTTGTTGCGACAAGGGCAGGTGGGCAACCCGAAAAACAACTTAACAGTATGAGGGCATAGCAGCGTTTATCCCGGAACACGTCAGTCCAACTCTACTGCTGGGAATGTCCTTCACCCAGAGGAAGCAGTAAGGTTCATTTGTCGAAGTCTCTAGAATCGTGTACAGACCGTATGTAAACCCAGAGGTTGCCAACACGGGAAGGCACAGAACCCATTGTCAACTTCAAACTTTAGAAATAGAGAGAACAAAAGTGAAACACTGCCGTTCCTTCGAGCGCGCCATGAACGTCAGCGTCCGCGTTTAGTGAGGCTGTTCCCGCTCGGGAGCTCTGCCCGCACCATCTTAGCCGAGTCTGCGCCTTCCCGCGGCCGTGTTTCTCGATCTCGCTCCGGAGTGAAGCTGTGACACCTTGAAGTTCTAAAACCTACCCTAATCCCGCATTCTCGGCTTGTGTTTTTACTTCATTCGACCCGCAGGAGTTGCTCGGAACTCGGGTTCATTTGTGCGTCCCGCAGTTGTAAACGCCAACGGCGGCAACACGACGCCATGTTTCTCTTTTACCTGCTCTGGAATATGCCTTAGCAAAGCGTTCGTGTTTTCTGCAGTCTGGAAATCCCTACGAGGCGAGGTTCATCAGAGCCAATAATTGATGAAATTTACGTGAGAAGCGTTTTTTGCTCCTTTTAATATCATATTGTTCCTCGCTTGCCGGAGGATTGAGTAGACGTGCTGGAATTGAGATGATCGCGACAGTTTTTGTCGGCGCATGGAGGGGATCTGTGTTCTGGAGTTCGAAGTCTCGCGTAAAAAGAGTTAGCGCCGAGTGCGGTCCTGAACGTAGCGCTGTGCCAATGGTGAGCCAATCTTAGAAACTAAGGTTAGCTGCTACACAGAATGTATATGCCAGTCTGGTCGCGTTAAACGCGAAATGCCTCTGCGAGGAGTTGCACCGTGGCGCCACTGTCTTGTCGCAAACTTCGGATTGCGACAACGTACAACGAGGGCAAAGGATCCGCTCTTGGATACAACATTTGACGTGAAAATTAATGCCGCCACTGCTCAGTGTTGCCAGTAGAGCGGAAGATCGTGATGCAGATGCGTAAACTTCAAAAATTGTTTTCTCGAAAGAAAATAAATATTTTTTGTGGGATATTTCATAGACTTATTCAGGGGAAAATATTTAGTGCACGCTGAATGCTTGATAAAAAATCGATGACCATTAATATTTCGCAGGAGCTCTGCTTTAACCACGTTGACTCTACTTTCCGAAAAAAAGATATGGCGCTGTCGAGTTTCGAGGCTATATTCATATTAATTTTTCTCTTTTAGGAGGACGTTCCCGTTGGACTGCGATTATGTATCGCGATATATGCAACATGCTGCTCGTACTTTTCGCCGTGGTGCCTATTCTACTGGCATCTCCAGAAGGTAATCCGTTTAAAGATATAGATATTTAACAAATATAACATTTGTTTCTGCTTTCTTTCGAAATATCTTTTGCCAGGTTTACTTCTTTAAGAAACACCTGCCATTGAATGCCACCGCTGCCCTCTGAACGTCGTTTGATATTGCAACAATGGTTTAGAATATCAGGTGTCTGACGAGGGCATAACAAATAGTGTTAATACACACCTGACCAAAAGGAAGTCACTACATCGCATATCTTTTATAGGTGCCCTTAAAAGGTTTCTGAAATCGCCTAGATACAGCGATAACTCACTGTGCGGGCTCAAAGCATTCTAAAAATTCATAAATCATAGCGATGCGCAGCTGATTTCTCTATTAAAAAAAAGCTATAATTGAACACACCGAAGTCATCCCCGGCGATGGGAGGAGCATCGTTCCGACAGCCAGGACATGTAACAAAAAAAAAAAAAAAACGCGACATTTAGTTAAGATTGCAACCGCTGTTACTACAAAATGTGTATGCTTTTGTAGATAATAGAAGCAGCTGGGTAAAAGAGTATTCGAAAAATGTTCGGTTTTCGCAGAGACGGAATATATTGTTGCAATAATCGTATCAAACACAGGGCACTATTTTTTTTTCGTGTCTTCCGCGGTAGTGAAGTGTCCGGTCGTCAGCCGCACGCATTCGAGATATCACTCCGCGGTTCCACCGGTCGGTATTCGCCAGGATCCTTCGCTTGCCATTGGCTGACAGTGCTTCTTGTTTCGGAACATGTACCTCCCATTTCCGAAGACGACCTGGGTGTGTTGCGATTTTTTATTGCATTTTTAATAGGGAAATCGGACGCGTATCGTAATGATTGACGGATTTCTAGGATGTTTACGGCCAGCAGAGTGAGTTATTGCCATATTTAGACGATCTCAAGAACCTCCTCAAGGCACCTTTAAGAGCCTCACACAGGCTGCACTGTTGAACAGAAAATGTTTTGTCTATACATGCGTTCAAGGAATTGGATTATCTTGATGTCGCAAATCCAGCTGTTACGACACCCGGGCTTTTGCGGTTTTGGAAGCTGTAGAGAGGGTTAAGCAATCAGTAATTAAATATGCACCTAATGTGTAGTGCTAAAAATAACGAATGATGATGTTTATCGACATCATGGGATATTTTGTGCAGGTCGCCCAACTTGCAAATCTGACAGTAAAATGTTTAATTGAATAACTGGAAATGATTATTGTTGCGAATAAAAATGCTTGACAAAGATAAAACCTAATATCAGTGTTTACTTGGGCGAACTTGTGGCTACAATACTAGCAATGTACCCGCCTTTTACGCAATGCTGACGCGAACGCACAGTGCATGCTATGATAATGAAATTATTACAAATGTGCAAGCGAGCTGGACAAGAATAACGATAACAATCACTTGAGAAGGGGAACAAGGGGACAGAGGATAAACACAAATCTCCAAACTGTGTTTTGAGATTTGTGTTTGCCATTTGTTGCCCTTGTTCCCCTTCTCCAGGGATTACTATCAGTGCTTGCGTTTGCTCGTATACGTAATACTAAAGCTCACAATAATCTCCTTGCCTAAATGTACCTTCAATTTTTTTTTCAGAGGGGTCTACGCCTTCCTCAAAAGAGTGCTTGCGTGCTCTTAGTGGAGGAGCAAATATATTTTGCGAAATTTTTGGATATGAAGTAAGTCTTGCGAACAATCAAAAACAAATATATTTCCAAATATTCCAAAGGGTCTCTCTATTTTTTATAGCGCAAAGACTAATTATTTATTACCATTTTTACTAAAACCGGACGTTTAGCATGAAAACCCGTAGTATTTTTAGAAACACTAGCCAATTTACCAAGTTAGTGACACATCTCGTGAACACGGGGGCACGTAGAGCGAAAATACACGGCGGTCTTTCCACATCGTAATTTCTACTGGTGTCAGGTGGAGCGAGTAATTAGACAAGCTCAAAAGTGGTAGGTATTCAAGAGGGGGAAATTCCATTACCTAAAAAGCTTGAAGGGTTTTATTTTGGAATCTTTAACTTGCGTAAAAATATTTTACAATTCTTAAAACGAAGAGTACCTAAGGTTTCTGGTGCTCATTCGTTTCTTTGCGCTAAAGTGACGCTTGTTCCTTCACTAGCATAATATCCCCCGTTCCCAGGTTATTTAACACCTGGCGCAATCTCACGAAGCTCTACGGTGTGCTTGACGACAGCCAACGTCCCTGATCAACTCACACATTAAGAGCCCTTTCCTATACCCCAACATTCGGCTACGACGTCACGCAGCTGTGGTGGCGCTGCTGTCGTAACAGCACATCCGCAGAGACTGACGCGGATCTGGTTCTTGCACATGCGCAGTCCCCACCCCTGGTTTGGGCAAAGGCTAACTTGTTTGTAAAAAGGCCTCACCGGCAAACCGCTGACAAACAAGTCCGCGTGTGGTGTAGGCACTGCGTGTGCACAGTAACCAGACCCGGCGTCAAGTTATACATCTGCTCGTGCGCTGCGTCAACCGCAGCGCCACCTCAGCTGCGTGACGTCAGGCCACGTGCCGGTGTATACATCTTTCCACGAAACACGCTGCCACAAGAAAATAGTTTTCTGTAACAAGAAAAGGACACACAGCAGACATTGGCTATGTGTCCTTTTTTCTTGCAATGGTTGCAGATGTCCCGGATGTGCGGGCACTTCGTTGCAAAGTGACAGTCGCCACAACGATAGCAGCTCACGTGCTTCTTGTGAGGAACTTGAACAGCGTTGATACTCGCTGATGAAGATGCCGCGGCTTCGCCTAGCTCGGTTACGTCACGCTTTGCGGATTCCATAGCTTGTGCAATCGTAACAACCACGAGCTCCAACGTTGGATGGTACTCTTCAAGCAGACGAGTTTTTATTTGTCCGTCATTAATGCCGCAAACAATTCTGTCACGTAGGAGGTCATTGAGGAATGTGCCGAACTCGCAATGTTCCGATCTTAAGTAAGGCTACGTAGTCACTGATCGATTGTTCCTCTTAGTTGTACTCGGCTATCAAACTTCAAACGGCTCACCATGACAGACGGTTTCGGCGAATAATGGTAGCTCAGCGTTGGTAGGCTAGCCTCCAGTGTCGCTTCCGTCGGCTTCATTGGTGCGAACATACTTCGCAGCGTGGAATACGTCCGCGACCAACAACAGCACAGGAAGACAGCACGTTGTTTGGTGGCTGGGACTTCGTTTGCGGCGAAGAACTGTTCCATTCGTTCCAGGTACTCTTGCAAGACTTGACTTTAGGGGTCGAAAGGCTCCAGTGTACCGTACTTCAGCATCTTGTAAGCAGGTTAAATACGTGATTTGCCCTTTGTCGCCTGTTGTTACGAAGTAGTAATAAAGACCGAGACAGGCCACGTCCGGTGGTGTTCCAGGCGCATGCTGAACTGCTCGCGCCACCGGCGCAGGTGCATTGCACTTGTTTATTTTCTAACGCGCGTGTGTGTCAACGGTGGCGCCAGCTTTTGTATACAGCAATAGTAACAGTTTGCTTTTTATAGGAGATAGCTTTATTTTCATTCTTATTTGTGACATTATATGTCGACGCATTGCAGTATTTTAGTGTTTTGGTTCCTGGGACGGGCGAGCTCGGATGCGATAATGGTACCGAGAAGGTGAAGTTGCCGGAGTTTGTTTGGCCCCGCGGTTCAAGCATGGTAAGCCACGGGAAAATGTTCTCGCTGCCTTTGCGCTTTTTTCGTTTTGTTTGTTTTACGGGTGTCAGTTTTATGGCAGCTGCCTTCTTTTATATATTTAAAACAAATATTTATCATTCATTTTTTTTTACGAAGACATGCCACAATTCCGTTGTTCAGACATGACAAAAGTGGTACTTATTGTCTCTCTGCTTATTCTGTGCAGAGCTAGTACGCGAACCATGTTTTACAGTTGCAAGACCATGCGTCATTCCATCAAATCCCCTGGGAAAGATGTAGTCAGTCATCTTTGTTATATAAATTCAGAATAATCAGAGATTTTCCTATTCCACTTTACTGACGGCATATAGCACGAAATAATTTTAACGTGCAACAGCTGCAAACATTGTTGACAATTGTTTCATGGAATCGAAAACGCCTCTTATTTTATACCCGACCCTACATGATCACGTCGACTACTAAAGAGGCTTGAAGCAACAGAAAACTAGCGATCCAGCCAAACTTCTGAAGGCCCCTTAGTGTTGCGTTTATGCAAATAACCATCTTAACGATGACTGGTGGACGTAGATGGGGAGGCAATGGCCACGTGCAATACCGTCAGTCGTTCAGCCTGGTGATGAGGCGAATTTCTGCTTAATATTTACGACCGGTCCTCCCTGTTGCTTTGCAGCAATAATTATTAGAATATCAAAATATAATTGTGAAAGCATTAACTGCCCATGGAAAGAAGCCGGAGTTGTCTGATGTCGGTAGCAGCGAAAAACGACACCTAAATACCAATTGGTTGAGCGAAACCGCACGTAAATTTAAATTAGCTGAGCGAAACGGGCACATAAATTCCCATTGGCTGAAAAACAAACGCGCCTAAAAAAATAATTAAAAAATAAAATAAAACACAAAGAAAAGCTCGCCAACGCAGATGCGTCGTCACGGAAGCCGTGGAGCCGGCGGGGGTGCCGCGCCTGCGCAGTGAGGAGCGTGACGTCACTGCAGGAGTGCCGTGTGAAAAAGGAAGACGTGGCGCGCTGCTTGTAGGAACTCACTACGTGCAGGAATGCTATGGCATTCCTACACGTAAGCAGCCTTAAGTGTCTTCGTTTAATTTTATTACATAATAATGTAAGTACTAAAGGTGATTGTATATTTATCAAAAATAGGAGCAGGAATAAAAGAAAGATTATTAGCAGTGGTAGCAATATTAGAGAAAGTTGCAAGTAGTAATATTAGTATTTAAAATACCTTGGAACGATAGGGAAAAAACTATATAGGGACACAATACATAAAGTACAGTATTTTTGAATGTGCTGTTCGTGTTGAGGTTGGGACGTGTTTCTTTTTACACAAACATACTGCAACTTGTGCTCTGAAACTGACCATGAAGCGTCTTTGTCGCTGCGTAATTTTGACGATACTTGTGGAATTTTTCTTCCAACTTCCCCCTCGTCAACCATAATGACGCAGTAACGCATATAGTATCGTTGTCGTAGTCGCGGGATTATCTTTAATAACTATATTCAAATGCAGCTCATAGTTTGGACCCGAATTCTGCGGGGGCACACGATTTGGTCTCATGACAATCAATGCGTAAACAAGTTTTCGGGTGGTGATTGGAGTAAAATCGCTGCAGCGACGGGAACAGCCGACACCTAACACTGTCCGCATCTTAGCACGTGCGATGTGGTTGCCAACCCCAGTGCACGGCTGTGATGAACTTTGGGCGGCACACATTCTGCACGAGATCATGTGGCCGCTCATTCTGTCCGTAATTTGAGGAAGTAATGCCGATTTTTGTATATTTTGTGGTGACTGTCGTTATGAGATATAATCTAGCCCATGTTTCGTAGGTTGTAAATGTCCAGGACTAATGCTGCGCGTTATTTACTGGAAGCCCAGAAATAGTGGCACGGCACCTTTATTAAAATAGTGAAGAGGATAAAAGTATATTTTCATGGTGCAAGTTTTGAAACGAAGCCTCCTCCCAAATAGCCCAATCTCTTGACGAAGAGGAGGGGAGGGTACGCCCCTCCCCCTCTTTTCCTCCTCTCCTATTCATCTTCCCTCCTCATCCTCACCTCCTCCTCCTCCTTTCCTCCACCTCTCCTCCTGCCTCTGAATTTGTTCATGGCTGACGTGACTGGAATTCGTGACGTCATTTTCCTCGCTAAATTTAGGCAGAAATTGAATTGGTGTTGAGGCCACGTGACGTGAATTTCCCCGCTAAATTTAGCGAGGAAAGTTTCCCGCTATATTTAGTGGGAAAAATTTTTCCGCTAAATTTGGCGCGAGATTTTTCCGCTAAGGTTAGCGGGTAACTTTATTAGCGAATATTACCGGAAAAATTTCTCACTTAATTTAGCGGAAAAAGTTCCCCGGTAAATTTAACGGGAAAATTTCCCCGCTAATCTTAGCAGAACACTTTCTCGCTATATATTGCGAAAAAATTCCCCACTAAATAAAGCGAAAAAATTACCCCGCTAAATTTAGCGGGAAAATTTCTCTGCTAACATTAACGGGGAAACGTCCCATAACACAATGCGCGCGGTTACGCCCACGCCGACGGCTACACCGACGGCGTCGCCGACGCCGCTCAACTCGGAAACGGGCTCCTAACAGCTGCGCTCTTAAAGTACATGTTAGTTCCTTTTCATAGGTGGATCTTTTATCACGCATTTCATTACACAAAAATTGCAGTGGAATTCAAGAAGTGATTACCAGTAAAACGAAGTTATTCGAGCGCTGATATTTGTGTTCTGAGTGCTCTGAAACCAGAATTGCATTTTCTTTTGCAGACTTCTTGCTCTCCAAATCTGAAAAACACACTCCTAGAATTTAGTAACACAATGCAGACGATTAAAGAAAGCCTTAAGAAAAGGGGGTGCAATATTGACTAACAAAGGAAGCAACTGCTGCTGCGGCGACTGCGATAAATAAAGCAGTGTCATGTGCCCTTCATTCGTATCTATCATTTATATAGATGTATATTTACTCTTTATTTCATGTTGTGATATTCAGTTACTACAAGCTGGGCTGTATTGCGGTACAAGTGTTTTCTGCTGTGTCCTTGATATATCTTTTTCTAAGGCATCTACTTCAATATGTAGCAAGATAAAATTTGCAGACGGTGTTTGTAACTCAGGAGTGAAATGTATTTAAAATTATCGAATCTATCTCGAGATCTTCCTTGTCTTACACAATGCGCTACATATGGTTTCAAAAATTAGGGTTTGTAATTCAAGGGAAACACTGAAGGCAATAGTCAGTTGAAGGTTTCACAGTGTCTTCTTGAGAAATCTGGAACATAGCCTCGGCAAACCCCAAACGAGAACAAAAGTTCAAAAAATGAAAGCCGTTTACAACTCCCTGTAACGCCGAATTAGAGCGCAGCTCTTGAGGAGGAGGAGGGAAGGGTACCGGGGGGTGGGTCAAGTGACCTCGGGGGGCGGGGGGTCACGTGACCTTGGGGGTCACGTGACCTTGTGGGTCACGTGACCTTGTGGGAGTCACGTGACCTTGGGTCGTCACGTGACGTCGGGGGGTCACGTGACCTGGGGCCACGTGACGATACCGATGACGTCATCAGTAGCGTCACTGATGACGCCATCAGTGATGATGATGACGATGCGGATGCCGGTGACGTCATCAGTGACGTCACTAATGACGTCATCAGTGATGATGACGATGACGATGCGGATGCCGGTGACGTCATCAGTGACGTCACTGACGACGTCATCAGTGCCTGTGACGTCAACGGGGGGTCACGTGACCTCGGGGGGTATCCCCAGGTCACGTGACCCCAGGGGGGGTCACGACCTGGGTAACCATCGTGACCCTCGTGAGGGTAACCCTAGTAACCTTTGTGAGGGCAACTCTCGTGACCCTCGTAAGGGTAACTCTCATAACCCTCGTGACCCTCGTGAGGGTAACTAACCCTCGTAACCCTCGTGAGGGTTACGAGGGTGAGTAACCCTCGTGAGGGTAACTCTCATAACCCTCGTGACCCTCGTGAGGGTAACCCTCGTGAAGGTTACCCTCACGAGGGTTACTAACCCTCGTAACCCTCAAAAGGGTTACCTTCACGAGGGTTACCCTCACGAGGGTTACTAACCCTCGTAACCCTCGTGAGGGTTACAAGGGTAAGTAACCCTCGTGAGGGTGACCCTCGTGAAGGTAACCCTTTTGAGGGTAACTAACCCTCGTAACCCTCGTGAGGGTTACGAGGGTAAGTAACCCTCGTGGCCCTCGTGATCCTCGTGAGGGTAACCCTCATGAGATTAACCCTCGTAACCCTCGTAACCCTCACGAGGGTTACGAGGGTTGCGGTTACGCCGACGCCGACGCCGACGGCGACACCGCTCAAGCCGGGAACGGGCCCCTAAGAGCTGCGCTCTAATAATAAAAGAAAAAAAAAGGCTCGAAGAATGGCAGCTGGGGAACTCGGGCGCTAGCTTTAAAGTATTTCGTCGTCTTCAATGTTTTATTATTTATGTTTGACCACACAACAGTGTCTGGGATCAGGTGATACGAATTACGCGCTGTATGGCATTTCAATCATGTGTGGAGGGGAACGGCGTTCGATTTTCCCGAAAACAATTGTTTTATGTAGAATTCAATCTCTAGGAAGTTCGACTCTATTAATTATACTGTGGCAACGTTTACATGAATGCGATCATCGAATATCGAATCGAAGAGGGACCAAGCGCACGCACCCTGTCTTTCTGCTTTTTCCTTTCCTACCCATTATTACCAAATAAATAAATAAATAAAATAAATAAAAATTTCCTACCACTCAAAATAGTAAATCCCGATTTGATTTACTATGGTCGCATGCATGGCTACGTTTGCATGAATGCCATCGTAGCGAAACGCATCGAGTGGAGACCATTCGCACGCTGCCTGCCTTCCTACTTCTTCCTTATCTACCCAGCTGCTATCAATCAAATTAGTCGAATCTCGATTTGACGCGCTAAGGTCGCATTTATGTAAATGCGACCCGTGTAGATGCAGCCAATGATGTGCGCGGTATTATGCGGCTAGGAATGTGAACGTGCCACACACGTTTTATCGTTCGCATGGGTGTGGGAGGTTGACGATAAATGACGTTCGAGTTGTTCGGAACTTAGTTCTACGACGGAGGCAGCAGGGAGACTGACCTCAGACCTTCTTGCGGTGCCTCATAAGCCTACGTGAACAATGGATCATCGCCAACCCCCTCCCGAAGGATCGGCGCCCCAAAGAAGAGGCCCAAGGTTTGGTCTGTCGCATACCATGTATAAATATTGCCCGGTTTCATACATTGGCGAAAGTAAGAACTTCGCAGAGAGGCTTACCCAACACAAATACGATGTCCGAAAGACGGATGTGGAAGCCAGCGCCCTCGCGGCACCAGAGGTCGGCATTTTAGGTCGCCCTCACTCACCCTCACCCTCACAGCCACACTCACCTAAGCCCCTCACTCACCCTCACCCTCACAGCTACACTCACCTTCAGCCCCTCACTCACCCTCACCCTCACAGTCACACTCACCTTCAGCCCTTCACTCACCCTCACTGAACCTTACGGCCCTCACGCACTCACCGCCCTCACGGCCATCACGCCCCTCACGGCCCTCATGCCCCTCACGGCCCTCACGGCCCTCACGCCCCTCACGGCCCTCACGCCCCTCACGGCCCTCACGCCCCTCATCGCCCTCACGGCCCTCACGCCCCTCACTTACTCATGGCCCTCACGCCACTCACCGCCCTCACGACCCTCACCGCCTTCACCGCCCTCACGGCCCTCACCGCCCTCACGGCCCTCACTCACTCATGGCCCTCACGCCACTCACCGCCCTCACGCCACTCACGGCCCTCACGGCCCTCACCGCCCTCACGGCCCTCACCACCCTCACCGCCCTCACGCCACTCACCGCCCTCACGGCCCTCACGCACTCATAGCCCTCACGACACTCACCACCCTCACCGCCCTCACGGCCCTCACGGCCCTCATGCCACTCACCGCCCTCACGCCACTCACCGCCCTCACGCCACTCACCGCCCTCACGCCACTCACCGCCCTCACGACCCTCACCACCCTTGCGGCCCTCACACCCCTCACGCCCCTCACGCACGCATGGCCCTCACGCCACTCAGGCCAGCTTCAGATGGGGCAATTTCACCCAGAAACTTTACGTCGCAACACTAGCAACACGGGCCGCCCGCGATCACACGCAGCAACCAATTGCTGCAATTTGCCATCGTCATCATAAAATTTTATTTTTATTGCACTATTTAGACACAATTACGTGTTATAAACGTGTTTTTATGCATGTAAACCTCGTTAAGAATACTAATGCACCTTTCTGAAGCAGTTTATTTCCAAAAAACGATCGATTTCAAACCAGAACCAAGTCTTTCGGTGTCATCATCACCGGCACGAGGTATGACGTGAAAATTTTGCGTCCCTGATTGGGTGCGGCCGCTTCAAACGTATTCGAATTGCTCCAAGTTGCTCGCCTATTTCGAACCGGACCCCATCTCAGCAATTCGTGTCGATCTAGGGAAAGCTAGAGAACAACCCGCCATTAACACCAAAATTGCTGAGAAAGATGCTCGATCTGAAGGGGCCTCACGCACTCACCGCCCTCACGCACTCATGGCCCTCACACCACGTCATGCACTCACCGCCCTCACGGCCCTCACGGCCCTCACGCCTCTCATGCCACTCACTGCCCTCACGCACTCATGGCCCTTACACCCCTCACGCACTCACCGCCCTCACACCACTCACGCACTCATGGCCCTCACGCCACTCACCGCCCTCACGCCCCTCACGCACTCATGGCCCTCACGGCCCTCACGGCCCTCACCGCCCTCACCGCCCTCACGGCCGTCACGGCCCTCACGGCCCTCACAGCCCTCACGGCCCTCACCGCCCCTCAAGGCCCTCACTCACCCTCACACTCATGAATTTTCCTGGTTCAGGAACTCACTCACCCTCACCTCACCTGTGAAGATGAGGGTGAGTGAGGGTGAGTGAGGGCCCTCATGAGTGAGGTTTGCCGAGGTATGCGCGGCACACGCTGAAGCAGCTGGACACACAGTCGACTTCGAAAGAAGCACCGTGCTGGCCTTGGAGAGAAATTGGCGAAAGCGGCTCTTTGTTGAGTCTTGGTCCATTCAACACACAAAGGGCAACGTGAATCGTTGTTCGGGCTCCCTGCCCAACACCTACGTCTCGGGACTGCGTGCCGTTAGCAAAGCCTCATACATTTTTATGCGTATTTCAGCCACGGGTGTTCTTTCCGTCACTCGCCCTTGAACAAGAGGACGAACTGGTCTCGAAACGTCTGGTAAATGTTTATTAAACTTTTGGTTAGAGTCCCTCTTTTTCGCATAATGTCTATTCCTAAAAAGGCACAGGGCTGCCGAAAGTTTATCTTCAAGCGTTCGCAAGCGCTGCAGTCGCGCGCGGCTGGTTCCCTCTTCCTCTTCAGGTCACGTGACAGAAGTGACCAGAGAGGAAGGAGGGAGCGCGGTCAAGGCGCGGGACACCGGGACACCGGGACACCCCCGCACTATCTCCTTAGGCATTCCAGGCCGAAACACGTGACGGTCGTGTTTGGAGCCGCCGTCACTCAGAGGCGCAGAGTAACTCTTTTGTGTGCTAATTCTGTTGTGTTTGCAACTCACTACATCTTAAAAAGCCTCTTACACACCAAAAAAAAAAAAAAATTTTTTTTTTCATGCTAGGCGTTGAAATGGCATATCAGGACATTACAAAAAAATTGTTTCACTATAGAGTTGCGTACTTTTTTTTTATAAAAAATAGAAATGCGAGGCCGAATTCAAAGTTCCCGCTGTGCACTGTGACGTAACAGTGTACCGCAAGGGGTCGGAACGGTCAGAAGGGAGGC